ATGGTCACGCCGCAATCCCTTCTCCTCCATTCTCCTCTCAGGATCTTGGGCACGCACGTACACGCACCCGGCGTGAGATTTAAGCCACCGGGTCCGAGACGCGAACCGCGGTTGACTACGTGGGAGTTCAGCGACATAGCCATTATGCTAACTGCTGGTTCCCCCACCCCAGTCTTTTCTCCACCCTCCATTGGGCCAGCATAAGCCCTAGAGCAGAACTGTATTATTTACTTAGCACAGTGCTAAATTACCAGAATTTAAATGAATTTTTTTGAGAGGTTTTTGCTATAGGGCACGTGTGCTTGCCAGAAAGACAGAGAGAAACAGAGAGATAGAAAGCAAGAACTCACCCCCCAGGGGGATGGCCACAATGCAATCCCTTCTCCTCCGTTCTCTCGGGATCTTGGGCACGCACGCACACGCACCTGGCGTGAGTTTAAGCCACCGGGTCCAGGACTCGAACCGTGGTCAACTACATGGGAGTTCAGCGACATAGCCATTATGCTAACTGCTGGCCCTGTAAATTAATTTTTTAAAGAATTATCTGTTCAACTTTATTTATTATTTTTTCAATTTGACCAGAGAGATAAAGAGAGAGAGGGAAAGTGAGAAAACAGGTCGCCAGGCTGAGGACTTGAACCACAGTCGGCCATGTAGGAGTCCAGCACCTTAACTACCAAGCCACCTGCTGGCCCCAGAATTTAAATTTAAATCCTGGCTTTGCCAACTTGCCTAACTGTGTGACCTTAGAAAAGTTTCTCTCTAAATTTCATTTTCCTTACCTGGGGAAAAGAAAAAAAAAAAAAAGAGGAACTCTTATTTTATGAGGTTGTTTGGAGATGAAATAAAATGACGCAGGGAAAATGCTTAGACTGCTGTTATTATCTCTTACGATCGATTCCTTCTCTACCTCCTGCTCCCGCCTCCTCTCACAAATGGTTACTGGGCCTTGAGAGGGGCCCGGCATGTGCAGAGCAGTGGCTAACGTGAAGGCCTTGCCCCCATCTGGTTCACATACCGTTGGTGGGGACAGACAGTGACACGTCAGTAAATGGCAGGATGTCAGCTGGTGAGTACTAGGAGCGCCTCCCCTGGACCAGGTGCTAGGCTGGCGCCGGTGTCTGAGGCATAAAGTCCAAACTCCTGAGTACAGTTCAGAAGGGAGCCCCGCTCATCTCATCTGCCCCCGCCCGTGGGTGGGCTGGGTTTGTGGCCAGAATGCCAGGGTTCGGCTTGATTGTTTGCCTAAGCCTCAGTTTCTTCATCTGTAAAATGGGAATAAAATGTAAGCTTTTTTGCACACCAGCCTTGGGCAGAGCCACGAGAGGAAGCATGGCGGCACAATCTTATCAGGCGAGGGGAGCCAGCCGTGTGGCGTGAGCTTTTCCAGGTGCTCCCCTAGAGGGTCTGGCTAGGGAGCCTCTCAGGTGGGGTTCTACGGTCGGGGAAGACGGTGTCTTGGCAGTGAGGACTCACACGGGGACTATGCCCAGGAAGGGCAGAGACGAGGCGACCAAGAGCTATGCTGACGAGGCTCCTGAGAGTAGACCCAGGAGCTGCCCAGGCAGAAGTGGGCAGACCCACAGAGGGTGGCCAAGAGCCAGAGAGCCAGCAGACAGGACGCGGTCGGGGGCTCCCACTTCCAGTATCAGGCCACAGAAGCTGCTCCTCCATCAGAACCCCGGATGCCGTCTGCTGTGTGTGGTAAGAGATACACAGCTTGCTCCTTCCCACCCTACAACATGGCAGTGAAAGATCAGTGGAGCAGGGTACTAAGGAGAAACCTGAAGCCAAGAAGGCCGATGCCAGTGGCGAGGTTAAAAAGGGTGACCCCGGGACCAGCAGTTAGCGTAATGGCTATGTCGCTGGACTCCCATGTAGTCAATTGTGGTTCGCGGCCCGGACCCGGTGGCTTAAACTCATGCTGGGCACGTGTGCGTGCGTGCCCAAGATCCCAAGAGGAGAATGGAGGAGAAGGGATTGCTGCATGGCCATCTCTCCTGGGGGGTGATTTCTCGCTTTCTGTCTCTCTGTCTCTCTCTGTCTGGCGAGTGCATGTGCCCTATAGCAAAAACCTCTCCAAAAAAAAAAAAAAAAAGGGGGACCCCAAGGCTAAAAAGCCCGAGAAGGGGAAGCCCCATTACAGCGGAAACTTGGTCCTAGTCCCGGGCATCGGCAGATACTCCCGGTCTGCCAGGTATTCCAGGAAGGCCGCGTACAGGAGGAAATACTCGGCCACTGAATCCAGGATCGAAAAGAAAAAGGAGAAGGTTCTTGTGACTGTCACAAAACCAGTTGGTGGGGACGAGAATGGTGGTACCCGGTGGTTAAACTGTGCAAAATGCCTAGGTATTATCCTACTGAAGATGTGCCTCGAAAGCTGTTGAGCCACGGCAAAATCCCTTCAGTCAGCATGTGAGAAAGCTGTGAGCCAGCATCACTCCTGGGACTGTTCTGATCATCCTCACTGGACGCCACACAGGCAAGAGAGTGGTTTTCCTGAAGCAGCTGAGCAGTGGCTGCTACTTGGAACTGGACCGCTGGTTCTCAGTCGAGTTCCACTGCATAGAACACACCAGAAATTCGTCATTGGCACCTCCACGAAAATTGATGTTAGCAAAGTAAAAATCTCAAAGCACTTTACTGATGCTTACTTCAAGAAAAAGAAACTGTGGAAGCCCAGACACCAGGAAGGTGAGATCTTCGACACAGAGAAGGAGAAATACGAGATTTCAGAGCAGCGCAAGGTTGATCAGAAAGCTGTGGACTCGCAAATTTTACCAAAAATCAAAGCTTTTGCTCAGCTCCAGGGCTCCCTGCGATCCATGTTTGCCCTTACAAATGGAGTTTATCCTCACAGATTGGTGTTCTAAGTTTTTTGCCAAGAACCTAATTAAATAACTGATCATATATATATTTTAAAAAGAGAGAGAGAGAGAGATACACAACTTAAAATTTACCTTTTTTTTTGAGAGAGAGATTTTTGCTATAGGGCACATACACTCACTAGAGAGACAGAGAGACAGAAAGTGAGAAATCTCCCTCAGGGAGGATGGCCATGCTGCAGTCCCTTCTCCTCCATTCTCCTCTTGGGATTTTGGGCACGCATGCGCCTGCGTCCGGTGTGAGTTTTAAGTCACCAGGTCCAGGACTTGAACTGTATAGTAGGCTACATGAGAGTCCAGCACCATAACCATTACACCATCTGCTCGCCCCAAAATGTACCTTTTTAAAAATAATTGAATAATATTTTAGGTTTTTACCATAGGGTAAATGCACTCACCAGAGAGGAAAGTGAGAAATCTCCCCCCAGTGGGGATAGCCACGCCACAATCCCTTCTCCTTCACTCTCCTCTTGGGATTTTAGAAATGCACACACATGCGGCTGGGGTGATTTTCCAAGCTGCTGGGTCCAGGACTGAAATTATGGTTGGCTATGTGAGAATCCAGCCCCTTAACCCTCATGTCACCTACTGGCCCCAAACATATCTTTTTTTGGTTGTTTCAATTTAGAGAGATTTTTGCTATAGGGCGTGTGCACTCGTCAGAGAGACAGACACGAAGAGACAGAAGGTGAGAAATCACACCCCCAGGAGGATGGCCACACCGCAATCCCTTCTCCATTCTCCTCTCAAGATTTTGGGCATGCATGCACAAGCCACCAGATCTGGTACTCGAACTGAGG